TTTTTTTTTTTTTTTTAAGTTTACAAAAGAAATATATAAATAATGCTTTTTCTAATTAACCTTCAAAAAAAAATTTGCAAAAAATTAATGCTGTCGTCAGTCTAATGAATACAGAAATGTCTTTAGGGCAAGAAAAAAAAGTATACTGAAGCGTCAGACAGCAGCGGTGATGAAGGTACAAATACAGTAAGGTTTGAAGTCTACTGCAATAAGGTTGGTACAGTTATTAAGCTTGTTATCAATAGAATTTAAAAACTGCCAAATTTCTTGTTTTTCTTTTATTAGAAGCTTTAAAGGAAGAGAAAGATAAAGCAGAAAAAATAATATGACCGCATTATTAACAATAAAGATTCGTTACTGTTCTTTATTACAAGTCAACAAATTAACTATTGAAGCGATATTCCCCAGCACTTCTCTATAATTGATTCTTTATTCAATTTGATTATTAATAACAAAATAAAATAAATTACTGTGTTAGCTATATTTTAAATAAGAATCGCAAATGATGTTTACCGTAGCCTTATATACAGGGAAATTTGGAAGTACGAAGCAAAGAGCCGGTATCACCTGTCACTGAATACAATGCAGACGAGGTTCATCATAAAAAACCTTCTCTTTCTTCATTGTTATTATTATTATTATTATTATTGATATATTATCTTTTGCTTTTTTATTTTATTTATTCGTAAACACAGTCAATTCAAAACTGATAAAGTAAATTAATATAGATATCAGATAGTTTAGAAAAAAAACACTGTTATATTTTAGGAGTTTTCTAAGGATGACGAAGACGTAACTGGTTCGCTAGAATTAGAAATTGATGCATCAAAAAATGTAATCTTTGTCTTTTCTTTTTCTGCAGACAATTTGGTAAAAACAACATAATTTTAATTTATTAGCCAAAATTTTTTACCGATTTTTTGATTCAAACCACTTCAGAAAAATTTTTCAACGCGTCATATTTCGCAGCAGAAACTGTTAATTGTCCAGTCTGTTTAAAGACTACGTTCTAGTGTGAGAATAAACGATAATTGTAAAAAAATGAGGAGGAAAGAAAAGCGCCAAATTTCGCTCCCAGCCAAAATTTCATAAATCTTTCATATTTCTGAATACACCACGACCTTTAGGGTAACTTGGGACACGAGAACGTCGTGCCTACAAACTTTATCTTTGATGTTTTCGATGAAAGCGTAAGCTAGTTCGTTCTTGTAAATAGCAAAATACTAGTTCCTAATTTAACTAACATAATTAACCTAGAGTTTATTTAAGAAGCAGTTCTGATAATTACATTTAGATAAGAAATAAGTGAAAGCAGAACAAATGTTTTCAGAAAAATCAAAAAACAAGATCGAGAGCACGTTCAAGAGCACGAAAAAGCAGTTCTGAAAAGGTACTTCGTTCTTCTTTTCAGACCGATAATATTTAAAAAAAATTTCAACTTGAAATAAGTAGGACATTTTCATTCAATGCTCACACTGTTCGTAATACTCTGCAATAGCAGAAAGAGAGAACTAAAGATTATCGCCACTGTTACATAAAGAGTATGCAAGAAAACCACAGTCGCAACTATTACAACAATGATATATTATGAATCTATTAGCAATTACAAAGATAATTTGACATAGAAGTTTTGAACCGAAACCCTATCACTTTCATCTTACACTGTTAGCAACTTTTAAAAAAACTACAGCTAGCTCAAAATACAACTATAATTTTTTCTACAGAATCTTTTTAGAGAGATCGTTCAGTCGGGCTTCCTAAGCATTTCTCGACAAAGGCAAGTAAAAGCATTTTGATAATCAGTCAATAAAAAATTGCTGTTAACTGTAACGAATCATATCAGTAAACTAAATTTTACTTTTATTTTTTGGTAGCTGCTTATCGCTATATTTTCATTTTTTTGAGGTCAAAAAAGTACCTGTACGACGACATAAAAGTGTTGGAGTTTTGCGCTACAAGAAAGCGGAAACCAGCGTGAGATTTTGACGTTTTGAATTCACATTAATTGTTGGTAAAAAAAACTTGTGATTATGTTCAAATCAAATATTAGTCACAGCTCTTAATTATCTAGATTATAGAGTGAATATCCGCAAAAAATCTGTTCTTGCCAAAAATCCGTTTGTATAAGGAGGCCTGCGATGGTATATTATTACTTCTGTGTTACTTTACTGATCAAACTGTCGTCAGCTTCTGCACCTTTGAACTTCTACTGCTTATACCGATATTAAAAGCAAGGAAAATTAAGCAAAAGCCTTCCTCTTTCGTTTAGGCAAAAACAGACAACAAAAACTGAGGAATTGCTTATCGTCTAGTAATAGCATTTAACAAAAGAGATTTGTAAAGTCTCAATATCTTTATCCCTACTAGTGGTTACTTGAACTGAATTTTCTTTTAATAATTCAAGAATAGATTTGTTATTTGTTGGTTTTTTCAAATTCTCTTTTTGTTTTACTTTTTTTATTTTGAAGTATATCACAGAGTTATAGCTTTTGAAAACCTAATTGCTTATAATGTTGACCTGGTTACTTAAGTGAATTTTTTACATTAAGTTCTAATTAATTAGTGAAAATTTGTATTATTTTTGTGGTTTAAGTACACACAAAGAATACCTTTGACCAATCTTTAAAAAATATTTATTGAATTTAACATGAAGAAACAAAAGACAAAGAACATCGTATTGCTGCAGTTAAAATGGTTTACAGATGGTGAGAAAGGCCGGGGAAAATCGAAGGGGCAAAATGTTGGTAAAAATCGTCGCAGTGATCCTTGGAGTATTTGTCTTGAGCTTACTGTTAGCGAAATATTACGTTCCAGTTTGGGAGACATACGAAAAAGGAATTTGGTGGAGATGGTTCGTTTTATTATTTATTTAAGACCACTAAGATTCCCTTAGCTTAATCTATATCTTCGCAAAGTGCTTGCTTGAAACCTTTGAAGTTACTCAGAAGTAACTTGAAATTTTAGTTTATTTTTTTTTGACCTTTGTAATCTAGAGTAATGAAAGCATTTTATTCGTTTTTTAAAGAACATCTGTAATTGTCTACGGAAGGTATTTAATGTTGCTGGTGATATGAGAAAGGTTTAGAGTTTTAAAGAAAATAAAACGTTATCTTAGCAGTTAATATTTCCACCACGTGTAAGACACGCGTACCATAGCAAGTATTACCAAATAACAAATAATACTGCGAAAAGTAATTTCAAAAATTCTTCTTTTTGATAGAAAACCTTTAATTTGTAGTTTTTCAAACAAAATCGATTCAACACCTTCCTAATTTTTTTTGAATTTAGATGGTTAATTACTTTTTGAAACTTTCGCAATGTTATTTTCGCTTTATTTCCTCAGAAAAATTTTACAGAACTCAAGAAAAATACCTTTTACTTTTAAAATTTCTTTAGAAGTGTGAAATTCTACATTTATTGCAATTGGTCAACATTCTCTGCTAACACAGATAAAGTTTCACATTATATTGTCGTTTACTGCCTCGTATCAGAAACTAAAAAAGCATTGATAAGTTTCAGACGTCAGAAGTAGATTTTGACAGCTGCTCTACAGAACTCTCAAAAAGTACGTCACGAGTAAGCTTTATTATCCTATTATTGCTTTTTTAAAATAATCCTCAAATAATGTGAAAAAACTTGCAGTGGCATTCAATTTACTTTTTAATCTTTTTTGTCCACCGTCTCAAAGACCAATCAAATGGACAAATTGCGTTGTTAATTTTAGCATCTGGAGCATGAAGCTGTGCGGGTTTGGGACAATCATAACTGTCACTATCGACGGTAGAGAAGTTACGATGGCGAGAAGCTCAATACCTTGAAATTGCAACGTCAGAGCTGTAGCTGAAGGTTTTTCAGCCTTATTATGAAAATAATGGTATTCATAAAACTGATCCAATGCTCTAATAATTACTTGTCATTCAGACAAAATGCCATCGTTACGCTTCTATGATTAATCGCCGCTGTTAATGAAGATGATTTTTGAGGCCTGAAATGCTGCTGTTGTTTCTCATATACAAAACAAGCCTACACCCTCTCAAACACAAAGTTCCTGTACATAGAACAAAGTTTAAAAACTGCTATAAATTTCAAGAAGGAGAGGAGCCCGTCCAAAACCCTTTCTAACGAGAATATAATAAATTTTTTTGTTGAGAGAAATCAGTAGCGACAGAAGTTCATTTTTTTCTTGAGATTTAAATTTAACTGTTGTTAGCAACCCTATAAGTTTTTTATAATTAAAATTCATTAGCGGCAATTACTAGTACACCCTGTTTGAAGCACTCGTAGCTGATGCACAGTAGTAATGCAACCAGGAGGTCCCGTTCTTTTGCTTTCCTGATGTACTTACAATTCCACTATACATGCTGCTGAATCACTTGTATTCTATGACGAGGAAAGTGTAGCAATTTCCAAACTGCTCAATTGCGCCCAGAACTTTAAGCACCAAAAAGTCCTTAAAAATTGTATGTAACACCTCTGTCAGCAATATAAAGTGAATTCCGTGGTCAATTGCTCCTACTTCTGTAGTACTTTTATTTACTGCTAAATAAGACGTCAAAGAGATGTTCCAAGAAATCTCTTCGACTGGTAAACTACCAGTACAGTCAGAGAAATGAAACTTGCCGCTTCTGACATATACTTGTCCTGTTAAAAGGCATAAAGTGCAGAGGTGTCTGGCCTTCACTTCTAACATCACTTCTCCCTTATTAACAACCATATGTTTAAATTTCAAATCACTTACTTTCGTAACAAATAATTATAGAAAAGACACAATTATTTTAGCTGCAAATACGGTCGTTAAAGCTTTAATCATAAAGACATCAGCAGGTTTATGCTTCTTCACTCTGACCATTTCTCCGTTTTCGTTTATTACTTTAAAAATCATTTTAGCTTTCGCCCACTAGTTTCAGATCACTGAGGAGTAGTCCAGTTCTGCTATCGGTGGTTGCAGCACCAGTGTATTTCCCGTTTTATCATTTTCGTAATTCTCACGTAGCTATCTTTTGAAGTTCTGCTTTGCTGAACAAGTTGAAGAACCATCATCATTAAGCTTTCCCAGTTTTCTTAAACTTACAGGTGTAGGGGAGTAAAATGTATTTCTTTCGAAAGCTAATGGTGCTTGACGTGGAAATAGCTCTTTGAAGAATCATGCATACCTCATATAAGAAAATGATAAATGTTCTTCCAATGACAAATAGGATACTAGTATGTCTCATTCAGACAATGTTAGACTCATTTTCATAAGCTTTCATAAGCAATTTTTGATAAAAAATAATAAGCGATAATACCATTATTACAGGAAAAAAAATTAATTTGAAGTGTCAAAGAACACGGAATAATTTTCAAAATTTATAAAACTAGGTAAACATTTCAACCGAAAACTGGACAGTGTTTAAATTTTTTTGCAAGTGCAGCACTTCAAATGCCGACATTAAGATAACAAAGATTTATATTTGACCTACTAATCATCTAAGATTTATTTGTAGTCAACAGTCTAATAGTCGCCCAGAAAGCAAACCTTGATTTCAGTATTTTTTTTTGACTCCACTTGTCCAACAGACTCTAGTGCGGTCAGTGTTAACGTACCACCAAAATTAGTCCTAGCAGAACAGTCCAAATTCCACACACAGTATACAGTAATAGATAAAATCACCCTGGCAAGACTGTCTAGATTGTTGGATAGCACTTCAGTCAAACGAAAATAACATCATAAACTGTCACACATGCCACAGCCGTTGCCATTGCATTTACTATGAAAACTTCTTTACCGTGCTTGTCTCATGATCATAACTTTAAAAAATTACAAAAATTTCTTAAAAAGTACTACAAAAACATCTTCAAGGTATCACAATGACAAGTGAGAATGAAGATTATGTTGCAAAACTAGGATACACAAAATTAACAGAGTTGTAAGTTGTTATTGTGCATCTACAAACGTCTTTGTAAACACCTATGAATACATATTACCTATTTTCCAAACATGCACATTGAAAACCTCGCGGTATATAGAATTCGGTTTTTTGGTTTGAGAAAGTGCAAAGCAGAAAATGATTTCAGTCATCGAATTAATATCACCTCTCGCAGTCTTAGTGAGAAAGAGTGTAATGAAAAGCCATGTAAGATGATTGCCATTGGTGTTGTCACCTTAAAGCCATAATGATTATTTAAATTTAAAAAAAAAAAAAGAACATTTATAACAAGACAGAATACAAAAAAACTGAAAGTGCCTGTAAAACGTACTGTGAAACAGTACCAGAATAGGCATCTCACTCTATTTAAACCTTGAATTTGAGTAAAATAAAAGCAAAAACTAACGATAGTAGTACCAGTAACCATTAGATGTAAGCAAGAAGAAAGTAAGAGTGAAAGAGAAATGCCAAGAAAAAGCACTTTTGTGCTGAAAAACTGAGACTCAAGCAACTTAAAGTTGAACGACGCATCCATTAAAGCATAGTAAAATGCATCTCGAGAGTGAGCAGGTATTATTTTATGTATAAATTAAAGATAGTTTTCAAAGGTTGACTGAAGAATCATAAGGAGAGTTATAACGGCAGAAAGAGGGATCATAACTGTAGGAAAATAAATCAGAAGACAGAAAAGTAAAAGAAATGGGTTTAAAGCTTCCTTCCTAAAAAACTGAATTTAGTTAAAAAGTTGTTCTTTTTTCATTAAAATCGTAGAAATATAAACAGTATTGTTTTGAAGAGTCTTTATCAACGTGAAGAGTTTTTAAAGCAGGAAGAAGCTAGTAAGAGCTGAAGAGTTGCTCAAAAAAAATAAGTAAGTTTAAGAAAGAAACTGCAAAAGACCTTGAAACAAATTTAGAGAGGTGGAAAAGAAAAGCTGAAAAGAAAAGTTTAACGTTTAACTGGTTTTGAAGGGTTAAGACAGTATTAAATTTTCAGAAGAAAAGAGGTTGAGATGAAAAAAAATAATTTCTTGAACAAGTTAGTTGACGCCATAAATGCTAGAGAAACTATTATTTGTATAACGATTAGAAGCGGTCCTATCACTCAGCCATGACGTAACGTTAAAGAAGATTTTCCCCAAAGTGTAATTAATTTATCAAAACTAACGTCATCAACATTTTTTAATAATCTGCTTCAGTTAGAGAGTTTATTCCAGAATTTAAATAAAAAAATTAAAATTTGTCTGATGCATTAATATCTATTTATAAAAAGAAATTTTTGTAGGAAGAAATTGAAAAGGCACTAATTATTTGTCAATACAAAAATATTAATCATTGATTTCTGAGCTTCTGCACCTGACATTTTTTCGTGTTTTTAATAAAATTTCTTTATATAATTTTGAGACAATACGAGAAAAATAATTAACGAACTTTAGTAGCAGCGAAAAATGATCACCACAGTAGCAAAAATCATCTGTTTCTATTTTCTTATTTAACATAAATTTAAAGCCAACAAACTACAATTAAGAAATGCATTTAAATATTATAATTCAAGTGAATCCCGGCTCTTTTAAAAGATCATACAAACGATCTATTTTAGCAGTACCGCCCTTGCGCTCCTGCAGTATCCCATTTTGCTGAAAATTTGCCCGCACCGATGCCGAAAATGAAGGTTGTACGTTAAGGCGTCAAACTTCGGGGTTGCTCCCTGAAACTGGTAGCAAACGCAAAACGCTTGTTTCATTACGCGTCGACGTTGGTTATTCTACAGTCCTACTCTCCAAAAACACCGAGAAGCAACTTCGCTGTATTTTAAGTCGTGTAAACTGAAAAACGGCCAGGAGAAAGAAAATTTAATTTTAAAAATTTAATTCGGAACTTAGAGGAAGTGCTCAGAAAAGCGAATTAAACAGATAAGCCACAATGTATCACA